AAGGAAAGAAATAATAAAACTTGGAGCAAAAATTAACAACATGGAAACCCAAAAAAAAAAAAAATCTGAAAGGTCAATAAAACCAAGAGCTGATTCCTTGAGAAAATAAACAAGATTGATAAACCACTAGCGAGACTCACAAAGGAAGAGAGAAAACCCTAATAAACCAAATCAGAAATGAAAAAGGGGACATCACAACAGAAACCAAAGAAATCCAAAGGTCATCAGAGACTACTTTGAGAGTCTGTATGCCACAAAACAAGAAAATCGAGAAGAAATGGATAAATTCCTGAAATTCTACAATCTCCCAAGACTCACTCAGTCAAGAAGACCTGGAATACCTGAGTAGAACCATTCATATCAAGGAAATCGAAACCGTAATCAAGTCTTTCCAAAAACAAAAGCCCAGGCCCAGCTGGATTCACTAACAAATTTTTCCAAACATTTAAAGAAGACCTGTTGCAAGTTCTCCTCAAGATTTTCCAGGAAATTAAAAAAAAAAAAGAAATTCTCCCAAACAGTTTCTATGAGGCACATATCTCCTAGTACCAAAAGACACCACTAACAAAGAAAATTACAGCCCCAATATCTCTGATGAACACAGATGCATAGATCCTCAACAAAACATTAGCAAATAGAATCCAACAACTCATCAAAAAGATCATACACCACGAACAAGTGGGATTCATCCTGGGGATGCAAGGATGGTTTAACATTCGGAAATCAATCAACATAATCCATCATATCAACAAAAGTAAAGATAAAAACAATATGATCTTATCAATAGATGCAGAGAAAACATTTGACAAGATCCAACCACCATTGATGATGAAAAGTCTCATCAAAAAGGGTTTAGAAAGAACTTTCTTAAGATAGTGTAAGCCATCTACAACAAACCCATGGCAAGCATTATCCTCAATGGGGAAGGGACAAGACAAGGATGCCCACTATCACCAATTCTGTTTAACATAGTATTAGAAGCACTTGCAATAGCGATTAGGCTAGAAAAAGACATTAAAGGTATCCAGATAGGAAAGGAAGAAATTAAGTTCTCACTATTCACAAACGATATGACACTGTATCTCGAGAATCCTAAAGCCTCTACCAAGAAACTCCTAGAAACAATAGTCTTGCACAGTAAAGTCGCAAGCTATAAAATCAATGCCCAAAAATCCATAGTCTTCTTATATGCAAATAATAAGAGTGCCCCAGAAAATCAAATACCTCGGAATCAGCCTAACTAAAGAGGTGTAAAGGACCTCTACAATGAAAACTACAAAACACTACTCCATAAAATAAAAAAGGACATGAGAAAATGGAAACATATCCTCTGCTCATGAATAAGAAGAATCAACATTGTCAAAATGGCAATACTCCCAAAAGCATTATACAGATTCAACGTGATCCCTATAAGGATACCCATGAAATTCTTCAAAGAAATAGATCAAGCACTCCTGAAATTCATATGGAACAACAAATGCCCACGAATAGCTAAAGCAATTCTTGGGGAAAAGACATGGGGAGGAATTACCCTCTCCAACCTCAAACTCTACTACAAAGTGATAACATTTAAAACAGCATGGTACTGGAAAAAAGCCACAGTCACAGACCAATGGAACAGGGTGTGGAATATTCCTACACACAACCCCAGATGTATGAACATGTAATCTTTGATAAGGGAGCAAGAAATATGAAGTGGAACTAGGAAAGCCTCTTCAACAAATGGTGCTGGCATAACTGGACAACCACATGCAAAAAATGGGCTTAGACCTCGACCTAACACCATGCACAAAAGTCAGATCAAAATGGATTAAAGTTCTCAACATCGGGCCAAAATCCATAAGATACATTGAAGACAAGGTCAGCAAAACCCTCCACAATATTGAGGCTAATGGTATCTTCAAAGACGACACTGCACTGTGGAAACCAAGCAGAAACAGAGATAAACAAATAGGACTATCTTAAATTAAGAATCTTCTGCACTGCCAAGGATACAGTGACCAGAAAACAAGGACAATCTAAAGAATGGGAAAGGGTATTTACACAATACCCATCTTATAAAGGGTTGATATCAAGGATATGCAAAGCACAGGTTGAACTCTACAAGAAGAAAGCATCTAACCCCATCAAAAAATGGGGTGATGAAATGAACAGAAACTTTCCCAAAGAAGAAATCTGAATGACTAAAAGGCACATGAGAAAATGCTCTACATCACTAATCATCAGGGAGATGCAGATCAAAACAACATTGAGATATCATCACACACCATAGAGAGTGTTAGAGAGTGTTTCACATCCTAAAGAACAAAGCAAGTGGTGTTGGCATGGATGTGTCGAGAAAGGGACCCTCCTTCACTGCTGGTGAGAATGCCAACTGGTTCAGCCCTTTTGGAAAACAGTATGGACCATTCTCAAAAAATTAGAAATTGAGCTCCCATTTGATTCAGCAATTCCACTCCTGGGAATATATCCCGAAGAGGCAAAAAAAGTACAGGCCAAAATGGCATCTGCAGTTCTATGTTCATTGCTGCACTATTCACCATAGCCAAAATCTGAAAAATCCCGAGTGCCCGAGAACAGATGGCTGGTTAAATTGGTACATCTACACAATGGAGTACTATGCAGCTGTTAGAAAAGATGAAGTCATGAAATTTACATACAAGTGGTACTACATGGAAAGTATGCTAAGTGAAATGAGTCAGAAAGAGAGGGACAGATATAGAAAGAATGCATTCATCTGGGGAATTTAAAGTAACAAATTGGGAGACTAACACCAAAGAATAGCCAAGATAAGTACCAGGAGGTTCACTCCATGGTTTGGAGGCCAGCCGCACATGCTGTGGGAGAAGGCAGCTCAGATAGAGAAGAAAATACCAAATAAAGGGTGCTGGGAGTATCCTCCCAGGATGAGAGATGCATGCTGAAAGTAGATTATACACCAAACCTGATTGCCACTCAATGCCTCTTTTGCAAACCACAGCACCCAAAAGGAGAGAGAGAACAAATGGGAATGCCCTACCACAGGGGTGGGGTGGGATGGGGGGGAGAGGGATTCCGGGAGCATTGGAAGTGGGGAATGGGACTGGTAGAGGGATGGGTACTCAATCATTGTATAACTGAAACCCAAGCACAAAAATCTGTAAATCGACAACTGTACCTCATGGTGCTTCACTAATAAAAAAAATTTTTAAATAAATATATAAATAAATAAAAGATAGTCAAAACCATCTGTGACAAACCTATAGCAAGCATTATCCTCAATGGGGAAAAAATAAGGGCCTTCCCTCTAAGACCAAGGACAAGAGAAGGATGCCCACTCTCGCCACTTCTGTTCAATACAGTATTGGAAGTACTTGCAATAGCAGTTAGGCAAGAAAAAGATATTAATGGCATCCATATGGGAATGGAAGAAATCAAGCTCTCACTATTCACAGATGATATGATACTATATCTAGAGAATCCTAAAGTCTCTACCAAGAAACTCCGAGAAACAATAGACTTTTACAGTAAAGTCGCAGGCTATAAAATCAATACCCAAAAATCTATACCTTTCTATATGCAAATATGAGAGGAAAGAGAAATGAAAAAAGCAATCCCATCCACAATCGTGCCCCAGAAAATTAAGTACCTCAGAATCAGCCTAACTAAGGAGGTAAAGGACCTCTACTAAGAAAACTACAAAACACTACTCCACGAAATAAAAGAGGATATGAGGAAATGGAAACATATCCCCTGCTCATGGATAGGAAGAATTAACATTGTCAAAATGGCAATACTCCCAAGGCACAATACAGATTCAATGTGATCCCTATAAAGATACCCACGAAATTCTTTTAAAAAATGGATCAAACACTCCTAAAATTCATTTGGAACTACAAATGCCCACAAATAGCTAAAGCAATTCTTAGGAAAAAGATGATGGGAGGCATCACCCTCCTAACCTCAAACTCCACTACAAAGTGGTAACATTTAAAACAGCATGATACTGGAACAAAATCAGAGCCACAGACCAATGGAACAGGATGGAATATCCTTACACATAATCCCAAATGTATGACATCTAATCTTTGGTAAGGGAGCAAGAAATGTGAAACAGAGCAAGGAAAGTCTCTTTAACAAATGGTACTAGCATACCTGGACAACCACATGCAAAAACATTGGCTTAGACCTCAACTTAACACCATGCACAAAAGGCAGATCAAAATGGATTAAAGACCTCAACATCTGACCAGAATCCATAAGGTACATTGAAGACAAGGTCCACAATATTGAGGCTAACTTTGAGGTATCTTCAAAGATGACATGCCACTGACCAAGCAATTGGAAACAGAGATAAACAAATGGGACTATATTAAACTAAGAAGCTTTTGCACCGCAAAAGATACAGTGACCAGAATAAAGAGACAATCTATACAATGGGAAAGGATATTCACCCAATAACCATCTGATAAGGGGTTGATATTAAGGATATACATGGCACTGGTTGAACTTCACAAGAAAAAAACATCCAACCACATTAAAAAATGGGGTGATGAAATGAACAGAAACTTTTTCAAGGAAGAAATCCGAATGGCAAAAAGGCACATGAAAAAATGCTCTTCATCACTAATCATCAGGGAGATGCAGATCAAAACAACGAGATACCACCTCAAACCACAGAGACTGTCACACATCCAAAAAATGAAAAGCAACTGGTGTTTGGTGTGGATGTGGGGAGAAAGGGACACTCCTACACTGCTGGTGGGAATGCCGACCAGTTCAGCCCTTTTGGGAAACAGTATGGATGATCCTCAAAAAATTAGAAACTGAGGCTCTGTGGGCAGGAATGGGACGCGTTGGGTCCTTGCTCAGGCAGCGTCATGGCTGCTCCCAGGAGTCTGAGGAGCCATTGGGGCCGTGGCTCCTGTGTCAGCTGGGAGGTTGCAATGACGATGTCAAATGCTTTTGCTGTGATGGTGGCTTAAGGTGTTAGAAATCTGGAGATGATCCATGGGTGGAGCATGCCAAGTGGTTTCCCAGGTGAATTCTTGATGCACAGTTTGTTGATGACTTTCAGACTAGATATCCTCATCTTCTTGAACAGCTGTTGTCCCCTTCAGACACTGCTGGAGAGGAAAACTGCTGATCCACCAATCCTTCACTTTGGACCCGGAGAGACGCGGTTGGATGATGCCATCATGATAAACACACCTGTGGTCAAAGCAGCCTTAGCAATGGGCTTCAATAGGAGGCTGGTCAGACAGACAGTGCAAAGTCAGATCCTCACAGCTGGAGAGAACTACAAGACAGTTAGTGATCTTGTGTCAGCACTTCTTAATGCTGAAGATGAAAACAGAATCGAGGAGAAGGAAAGACAAGCTGAAGAAACGGCTTCAGATGACTTATCACTGATTCGGAGAAGAAGAATGCCACTCTTTCAGCAGTTGACGTGTGTACTGCCTATCCTGGATAATCTTTTGAAGACTAATGTCATTAATAAACAGGAACATGATATTATTAAACAAAAAACACAGGTGCCTTTATAAGCAAGAGAACTGACTGATAACCATTTTAGTTAAAGGAAATGCTGCAGCCAACGTCTTCAAAAACTGCCAGAAAGATATTGATTCTACTATATATAAGAACTTATTTGTGGAAAAGAATATTCAGTATATTCCAACAGAAGACGTTTCAGGTCTGTCCTTGTAAGAGCAGTTGAGGAGATTGCAAGAAGAAAGAACTTGTAAAGTGTGTATGGACAAAGAGGTTTCTATCATATTCAATCCTTGTGGTCATCTGATAGTATGCCAGGAGTGTACACCTTCTCTACGAAAATGGCCTATTTGCAGGGGCATAATTAAAGGAACTGTTCATATGTTTCTCTCATAAAGGAAAAATGGGCTTATTATAAAAGGTTAAAAAATATTTAACAGACCATCTGAAATATTGAATCTTTGGGGGCTGGAGCAATAGCATAGTGGTAGGGCGTTTGCCTTACATGCAGCCTGGCCTGGCCAAGCCAGGTTCGATTCCTCTGCCCCTTTCGGAGAGCCCAGCAAGCTACTGAGAGTATCTCACCTGCACAGAAAAGCCTGGCAAGCTACTCGTGATATATTCGATATGCCAAACATAGTAACAACAAGTCTCATAATGGAGACGTTACTGGGCCCGCTCGAGCAAACTGATGAACAACAGGAGGACAGTGACAGTCATAAAATTAGAATTTTTCTCTTACTAGCAAATAAGATTTCCCCTAATTTGTGAGACATCATAATAAAGATTTTTGAAAAAGGAAAAAAAAATTAGAAATTGAGTTCCCATTTTACCCAGCAATACCACTCCTGGGAATATATCCCAGAGAGGCAAAAAAGTATGTAATTTTTAAATTGTATCTATTTTTTAAAATAAAGAGGAAAAATTGAATTAAAATAATAACACAGGGGCCAGAGCAATAATAAAACAGGTAGTGCCTTCACTTGCATGCAACAGACCCATATTCAATCCTCAACATCTTATTTCATCCCTTGAGTACCACCAGGAGTAATTCCTGATTACAGGGTCAGAAGTAACCCCTGGGCATTGCCAGGTATGACCCAAAGCCAAAAATAAAAATAATAACAATAATAGCACAATTTAGTAATCAGCACTGAGCTGCCTATATTCCTAAACAACTGACATATTTTCTTTATTTGTACAGAATATGAAAATAATAACTATATTTTTTGTTTTTCTTTTTGGGGGGTGGCACAGCCAACTATGGTCAGGGCTTACTCCTGGCTCTATGCTCAGGGATTATATCTTGCCGTGTATGGGGGACCATATAAAATACCAGGGACCAAACTTGGATTAACTACATACAAGGCAAGAGTTTAAACTCCTGTACTATCTCTCTGGCCCACTATTTCTCTGTACTCATACCTGGAGTTAAAATAGCAATTTCACAGGTGCCACTACTGGAACAACACAAAGTCTTGAAGTAGACTCAATTATATGCACCATTTAAAAGACCTCAAAACTACTAAAAAATATGATTTCAAAAAAAATATACCAAAAGTGTTGGAACAACTGGATGATCATCTGGGGGAAAAGAGGTAGAGTTGTATCTCAAATATTAAAAATTCCAGGATCACTAGAACATGAGAAAGTTTTATAATACAACAAATAGTTGAAAAACGATGGTTTTTTTCAAGTAATGAGTGACAAAAGAATCACATAAAAACAATAATGCAAACATCACAGAAAAATCTCTATAAACAATTTTGAAAATATTAAAAAGAAAAAAACTAAAGGAATTATGAGCTCCTTCAAATAAGATAAATAAAATTTTAAAAAGCCCAGATATGAGAAAACAGTTCTCAGAAAAAAATTAAAGTAAATTAAAATTATGATTCCTTTATTAGTTCTCAAGTTGGCAAACATTCAACTGTCTAAAATATACATTGAAAAGCATAAACTGACATTTTATGATATGTCAGTATTTATTGAAATTAACTGGTAACACTCTCTTTTGAATCAGCAATACCTCTTCTATTTAGCTTATATACAGAAACTGAAATGTTTCTAAAAAGATACTACTTTTTGAGTTCTAAAACATCTAAATGTGGTCCCCAACGCTGTGCAAGTTTGGCCAATTCCTGATTAAGTCAGTGATTCTCCTCAGTCTGGTGCCAACCAACATCATCAGCATCATCTGTTAACTTAAAAATGAGACTTTTGTGATACAATAATGGGAAGTCTGGCAAAACTATCACCTACAATAATAAAAAAAAATAAAATATAATGATAATGAATTAAGACGATTCTAGGTAGAACACTGAAGAAACAGATGTCTTTTTCCAGATGACTTTCACTGTATCACTGTATCACTGTTATCCCGTTGGTCTTCGAATTACTCAAGCGGGCACCAGTAACGTCTCTATTCCTCCCAGTCCTGAGATTTTAGCAGCCTCATCTTACTCGTCTTTTCCCAATGATTGGAGGCTCTTTCAGGATCAGGGGAATGAGACCTATTGTTGTTACTGTATTTGGCGTATCAAATACTCCACGAGGAGCTTGCCAGGCTCTGCCAGTGTGGGTGGGCAGGATACTCTCGGTAGCTTGCTGGGCTCTTTGAGAGGCATAAATGGGTAGGATGTGTCTAATAAGGTGTCGCGCAAAGTGGCCGTGCTGTCTGGAAAGCGGCCTGGAGCTTGGCAGTGGTCGGGCAGTGGAGGTCGGCTGCCAGGGCTGGGTCCCTTGGGGTGGGGAGGGCTCTCATCCACCCACAGCCTGGCGTGGAGTCCAGTGGCATGGTTCTGGGAGCCTCCTTTTATACTTCCGTCTGGGAGGAGCATCTGTGAGTTCTGGAGGGTGGCCGATGAGGAGATTATCTGGTGCCCGCAGGGTGTGGCTTTTGGGTGTGATCCCTGAGTAACTGGAGACTGGGGGAAGCAGGCAGAGGATCCCTGATCCAGGTCCTGCTGGGTCCAGAGTCCAAGGTCACAAAGTTCTGCATTTTCTGGGTTTCATGGGACTTCACTCTTGTGTGAGGCTCAGTTTGAGCATCCAGAAAGCGGCCTGGAGTGTGGCAGTGGTCAGGCAGTGGAGGTCGGCTGCCGGGGCTGGGTCCCTTGGGGTAGGGAGGGCTCTCACCCACCCACAGCCTGGTGCGGAATCCCCAGATGACTTTATAATTGAAAAAAGCAGAGATAAACTAAAGAATGAGTTATTCACTTTTTTTACTGGAATTTAATGGAAATATACAAAACTCACAACAATGTTTTCAGCTAACACAGTTCTTAAAAAAAAACAAAGGGTGGGGGCTGGAGAGATAGCACAGCGGCTAGGGTGTTTGCCTTGCACCCGGCTGACCCGGGGTTTGGCTGACCCGGGGTTTGGCTGACCCGGGGTTCGATTCCCAGCATCCCATATGGTCCCCTGAGCACCGCCAGGAGTAACTCCTGAGTGCAGAGCCAGGAGTAACCCCTGTGCATCGCGGGGTGTGACCCAAAAAGCAAAATAAAATAAAATAAAAAGGTGCTAATTAGAAAAAAAGGGGGGGGGGGCTTAAAGGCTGAAGCAATAATACAGCCGGTAGGACCCTTGTCTTTCACAGCAGGAGTTATCCCTGAGCACAGAGCCAGGAGTAAGCCCTGGGTACTGCTATGTGTGCCTCCCTTCCCACCAAAAAAGAAAGAATGAATCAAAGACCTTAGGGCAAGTACCATGGGACTTATGGGACTTTAATATTCACTGTTCAGATATCAGAACCATGTAAATCATTACTTCATAGATCCTTTTTAACAAAAAAGAGTCAAAGGATGTTGTTTCACAGTTGCCTCACTGAATGCTAGGAAAAAGTTCTTCACAAAAAAGTTTGTGATTATGGCTATTGATGATGCAGTAGACTATGGGCCCATATATATAAGCCCACTGTGCTTAAAGGACTCATAATAGCTTAGGGTAAAAGGCACAGTAACCATGTAAAACATAAACAAGACTTTGAATCCTAAACTACAAAAGGCAGATAGCAAGCCTAAGAGGTTACTAGGCTGCAAACACAGATCAGTTCTTCTCAGTGGGATGGGGGTGAGAGAACATTCAGAAGGTGAAACCCAAAACCAAAAGAATCTGTGGCATCTTGAGAACAACATCCAGAAACAGGGATGAGAACCCATTAAAAAAATACTTTCAACGTGCACCCCGTGGAGTTCCAGAATTGTGACAAACTGCCATGTGGTTCCTTAATCCTTTTTGAACAATATTTACCATAGTTAATACACACCTTCCCAGTTTAGAACTTTAAATATGTGAAGGTGTTGGAGTACAAGGAGCTTAGGTCTGTCAGGTTGCACCCATCACAGTGCTCCCGAGTCATTCCTATTACTTTGTCTGTAACTACTTCTTTGTGCTCTCTTCCCCAACCAATTTGTAAGGTCTCATCCTTCTAGGACACTGAACTTGTACTGTAAGTTAATATTGCCTTTCTCTTCTCCTTATGTCCTTTGAATAGTTTAATGCAATGTCCTTTTTGTATAGATACAAGAAGACAATTAATATTATGCTTTATAACTCAGGATTTAATTGGCCTTGAATGTTATTCACTCCCGGGCATCTGCTTTCTCAACTTAAGCCTCAGTTGCCCTCACTTCCTAGTGCCCCCAAAAGCAGGGTCCCAACAAGGGACTGGATGGAACCAGGGCAAGCCGGTAAATTATGTGCTACCCTGGCGATGGGCCAGGCCAAGGTGCCACGATTCTTAACTATAGGTTAAGAGTTTGATCATAGGCAAATGCTGTCATGATCCAAAAGTAACGACGAGACTAGGACCCTGATAAGAATAGGAAAGATATTTGGCCTGAGCACTGCAGTCTGAGATTGAGATGGCCCTAGGAGAGCAATTCTATAAGCTTAAAGTATTTCTTACTGTGTCCATACAAAATGACTTATATTATGTATGCTTTATGTTTGTTGTACAAGGAGAGGAGAAACACACCCAGGGAATTCTGTTCTAGGGTGGGTTGATCTGCTAAATAAGAATCTGTCCTAGAAGCAGCTTTCCTGTGTGTCCTGACTAGCTTGGATGAGACTGAACATTTCTCCCTTTCAACTGCCTTCAGTAAATAATTCCAGTATATTGTAAGAGGCAGCTTCCCTTTTCTCTCAGTAATCTCAGGTGGTAAATAAAGTAAAGGCTCTCCCATTGATCATCGATTTGCTCGAGCGGGCCCAGTAATGTCTCCATGGAGCGATAGCACAGCGGTAGGGCATTTGCCTTGCACGCAGCCAACCCGAGTTCGATTCCTCCGCCCCTCTAGGAGAGCCCGGCAAGC